ACCCACCCTATCCCCCCTGCAAACCCCCTCAAAAAAAACTTTTTACTTTTTTTTATTTTTTATTTTCTTTCTTTTTGTTTTTGTGCACCACCCACCACCCTACCCCCACCCCCCATCCCGCGCCCGCGCAAACCCCTAAAAAATTTAGCCCTTTTTTTTCAATTTTCAATTTTTTTATTTTTCTGCACCACCCTTCCACCCTACCCCCTCCCTTCCCCGCACACAAACTCCCTCAAAAAAAAACATTTTTACTTTTTTTTGTATTTTTAATTTTTAATTTTTTTTATTTTTCTGCAACACCACACCCCCACCCCCTGCAAATCACCGCCCCATGCAAACCCCCTCAATTTTTTTTTTACTTTTTTCTATATTTTCAATTTTCTATTTTCTATTTTCTATCTTTTCATTTTTCTGCACCACCCACCGACCCCCCTCTTCCACCCGCAAAATATTTTTCAACTTACACATTTTAAGGTAAAAGGCTTTTTTACGGAAGATAAGCATGGTTCTAAAACGTGGGTCATGTTGAGGGGGTTAGTTTATGAACCATTGTTAAGCCCATCTTGACCCAACCCATCTTAGCCCAAGTACACTTTGGGATGGGTTGGGCAATGACCTATTTATTGACCTAACCCATCTTGACTTGCCCAAATTTAGCCCAACCTGCCCATTTGCCACCCCTACCTCAGTTATAGGATTACAGGTACGACCGCTATACTCAGTCGGGATCAGGTGAGAGCTTAGAGACATCTAGTTCGCAGCGACAGCGAGGTTCAGGGCAGACATGGTCATTTTCGCCGCGGTGTGACATATGTGCTAGAGGACACTTGGGCCAATGCCGAGTATGTTCTGATGCTTGTTATACATGTGGGCGTCCGGGGAATATGATGCGAGATTCCCCAAATAGAGTTTCTAGGGGTATGGCATAACCAACAACAGGATCATCTATGTTCGTGCATCCTTCAAGGCGCGAGTCTCAGTCTTCGGTTGGTAGAGGTCGAGGTCGAGGTAGAGGTTCCAGTTCAGGAGGTAACCAGAACCGTATCTATGCTTTAGCGGGTGGACAAGACCAGGAGTCTTCACCAGACGTTGTGATAGGTATATTGTCCATTTGTTCTCACGATGCTTATGCCTTGATAGACCCAAGATGTATTTATCGTATATTACCCTATTGTCGCGGGGAAGTTTGGTATAGTGCCTGGAATACTAAGTGATCTTTTTCCGGTGTCTACACTGGTCGAAGAACCAATTATTTGTAGATAGGTTTACCGAGGTTGTACGGTGACATTTTGAAGTCGCTAGACCTCAGCCGACCTAGTTGAGTTAGAGATGATAGATTTTGATGCTATCATGGGCATGGACTGGTTGGCAGCTTGCTATGCCATAATTGATTGCCGAGCAAAGGAAGCTAGATTTCATTTTACAGGTGATCCAGTCCTTGAATGGGTAGGTAATATAGCAAAATCCAGAGGTAGGTTCTCCTATTTGAAGGCGAGGAAAATGATCGTAAAAGGGTGCATTTATCATATTGTGCGAGTTAGAGATGTAGATGTTGAGATGCCTACACTTCAGTCTATTCCAGTAGTCAAAGAGTACGCATATGTGTTTCCAGATGAGCTTCCAGGTATTCCTCCAGAGCGAGAGATTGATTTTAGCATCGATTTGCTTTCGAGAACTCAACCAGTATCCATCCTCTGTATGGAATTTCACCTTCCGAATTGAAGGAGTTGAAAGAGAAGTTAAAAGATTTGGTAGAGAAAGATTTCATCAGGCCCAGTACCTCACCATGGGGTGCACCAGTACTGTTTGTACGGAAGAAAGATGGCTCGTTGAGGATGTGTATCGATTATAGGCAGCTGAATAAGGTAACTATTAAGAATAAGTATCCACTTCCAAGGATTGATGACTTGTTTGATCAGTTGCAGGGAGCTGAATGGTTTTCAAAGATAGATTTGAGGTCCGGGTACCACCAGGTCAGTGTTCGTGAGAAATATATTCCAAAGACAGCCTTCAAGACTCGATATGGCCACTTCAAGTTCCTTTTCATGTCATTCGGGTTAACAAATGCACCCGCCATATTTATGGACTTGATGAATAGCATATTCTGGCCATTTTTAGATCTGATCGTGATAATATTTATTGATTATATTCTGGTTTATTCACGTTCAGAGGAGGAGCATGCAGACCACCTATGAGCGGTACCCCAAACCTTCCGTGATCGTGAGTTGTATGCTAAGTTTTCTGAATGTGAGTTCTGGTTGAAGTCTATAGCATTCTTGGGGCATATTGTATCCAATGAAGGTATAAAGGTAGACACTCAGAAGATTGAGGCCGTGAAATCCTGGCCTAGACCTACAACTCCGATAGAGGTTCGTAGCTTTCTAGGCTTAGCAGGATACTACCCGAGGTTTGTAGAGGGGTTTTCTTCCCTTTCGGCACCATTGACAAAGCTGACTCAGAAAGTAATTAAGTTTCAGTGGACAGAGGGTCGCAAGCAGAGTTTCCAAGAGCTTAAGAACATATTGACCTCAGCTCCAGTTCTAACACTTTCAGAGGGTCTAGAGGGTTATGCCGTGTATTGTGATGCCTCAGGTGTCGGGTTAGGATGTGTATTGATGCAACATGGGAAGGTAATTGCGTATGCATCAAGGCAGAAGAGGAAGCACGAGGGGAATTATCCGACCCACGACCTCGAGTTAGTGCGGTTGTCTATGCAATTAAGATATGGCGGCATTATTTATACGGTGTTCACGTTGATGTATTTGCAGATCATAAAAGCTTGAAATATATCTTCAAGCAAAAAGAGTTGAATTTGTGAGAGAGGTGATGGCTAGATTGATTGAAAGATTACGATGTTAGCATTCTCTACCATCCAGGGAAAGCTAATGTTGTAGCAGATGCCTTAAGTCGCCGATCTATGGGTAGCTTAGCACATGTAGAGGCTGAGAAAAGACAATTAGCTAGATAGATTCATCAATTGGCTTGTTTGGGGGTTCGGTTAGTAGTAGGGGTGGGCGTCGGTCAGTTATTATAAAAGTACGGTTCGGTTTAACGGTTTTTAGTTTTGTAATATTAATAACCAAACCAAACCAAAGTATTTACGGTTCGATGCGGTGTTTTCAAGGTTCGGTTCGGTTATTTCCGGTTTAGTTTTTCGGTTATTAACGGTTTAAGATTTTTATATCCGATATAGACTACGGATCTTTAACTGATAATGAAGATATTGAAAATTTGATAAATATTTATAGTAAATTAAACTGATATGCTAAAGAAATAAATAAATGAATGAATCAATCTTTACATAAATCATACGTAAAAGAACTCCTTCCAATCCTACAAGCTAAGAACAAAAGAAAGTACAAAACAAACAAATTAAATAACATACAGAAGAATAGAATTAAAAAAAGGTACGACAACGGCTAGACAAATGGTGCCTGTGATTACAAGACAAACTTTTTCACTACGATATTGCTTGTTTCGATTTTAACGACCATAGTTACGCTTGATATTAAATTTAGGAAATAACGGCTCCTTACCAGGGAACATCGAATTAAAAATCGAAAGTTGAAAGAAACCAGCAGGAGGAGCAACGAGGGAAAACTGGAAAAGGAACTCAGAAGAAGGAGGTAACCACTAACCTTAGGATGAAGGATGAGTGACGAGCAGAGGAAGAAGGCATCACAGGCTCACAGCAGTCGGCATCGGCACAGTCGCATAGAGGAGGAAGGAAGTCGGGACTCTCAAGAATAAGAACCCTAATTAGAAACAAGTTCTAATTTCTAAGGAAAGGAACTAGAAAAGTAACGTAAGTCTGTATTGGGTTAGGTACTGGTATTGAGTAAATTGGGTTTCAGATGGGTATTGGGTAAATTGGGCTTCAGATGGGTATTGGGTAAATCACTAAATTGGACTAAAAGTTGGTGGCCAGGTGTTAAGCCCATATGTCCAAACCTATTTTTCTCAACTCATACCCAAAATTTGGGTTTTTCAGTTTAAAACCGTTAACCGCACCGAATACCAAACTTTTAAATCTATAAATCGCAAACCGACCGAATAAACCAAAAAACTGAAACCGAATAAACCATAACTTTCGGTTCAGCCAGTTTTTTCGGTTTGGTCAGTATTATGCCCACCCCTAACTAGTAGATTCCGGCGATGGTGGAGTTGTACTCCAAAACACTGCAAAATCATCACTTATAGCTGAAGTCAGGGAAAGGCAGTACGAGGACCCAAAGTTGGTCGAGTTGAGAGAGCGAGTTCCACAATAGAAAAAGTCGTTATTAGAGCTCAGCGGAGATGGGGTTCTTAGATACATGGGTCGTCTATGTGTTCCAGATGTAGCAAGGCTACGAGACAGAATTATGTCAGAGGCACATTATTCGAGGTACTCCATTCATCCTGGGTCGACGAAGAAGTATCATGACATTAAGGAAGTGTACTAGTGGAACGATATGAAGAAGAACATTGTTGAGTTTGTCGCTCGGTGTCCTAGTTGCCAGCAGGTGAAGGTAGAGCACCAGAAGCCCGGAGGGCTACTGCGGACTATAAAGATCCTAACATGGAAATGAGAGGCGATAAACATGGACTTCATCACGGGTTTGCCTCGTTCTCATTGTAAGTTCAATTCTATATGGGTGATAGTCGATAGGCTCACGAAATCAACCCATTTCCTACCGATCATATCTGCATATACAGCCGAAGATTATGCCAAGTTATATATTAAGGAGATAGCGTGGCTGCACGGAGTACCAGTGTCTATTATATCTGACTGTGTGGCCTAGTTTACAGCACATTTCTGGAGTTCATTTCAGAGATGTCTAGGGACTCAGGTGAATCTCAGCACAGCTTTTCATCCACACACTGATAGACAAGCCGAGCGCACAATTCAGACGCTCGAGGATATGTTACGAGCATGTGTGTTGGATTTTAAAATAAGTTGGGATGAACATCTATGTCTTATCGAGTTTGCATATAATAACATTTACCACTATAGTATCCAAATGGCTCCGTACGAGGCTTTGTATAGGCGTAAGTACAGATCTCCTATAGGGTGGTTTGATGTTGGAGAATCTGGGTTACATGGGCTAGACTTGATTCAACAGGCCGTAGAGAAGGTAAAGCTTATACAGGAGCAACTAGTGACAAACCAGAGTCATCATAAGTCATATTCTAACGTGCAACGACGAGATTTAGTGTTCCGTGTTGATGACTGGGTGTTCTTAAAGGTATCCTATGAAGGGCGTGATGAGGTGTGGCAAGAAACGCAAGATTAGTCCATGGTATATTTGGCCTTATAGGTTATTCAGAGAGTGGGCCAAGTAGCTTATGAGTTAGAATTTCCCTTGGAATTGGAGTGTGTCCATTCGATTTTTCACGTATCTATGCTACGGAAGTGCATTGGTGATCCTACTCGAGTACTTCCCACTAATGATGCACAGATTATGGAGGACTTATCTGACGAGTAAGTTCCAGTTGTCATCCTATACCAACAAATCTGCAAGTTACGAAATAAGGAGGTAACATTCATGAAAGTTTTATGGAGAAGCAAGAACGTGGAAGAGATGACATGGGAAGTGGAGGAAGAAATGAAGTCTAAATACCCTCACTTATTTCAACTGAAGATATGGCTTGAGATGGGATACTTCAGCATAGCTCTACTCAGGCCAGTAGGTCATCAGGTAAGCTCTTATTTTTGACTTTCAGTATTTATGAGTGACGGCCGTGTGGGGCCAAGTGCTACTATTTATAGACATTGGCCATGTGTGGCATGTATAGTATATTTTCTGGCTTCGTGCAGATTGGTTTTAGTCTAGTGAACGGAGGAGACTCTGGCAAAATTTTCCCAAGTCTCTTAAAGTAAACATTCGAGGACGAACGTTCCAAAGGGGGAAATAATGTTACACCCCATATTTTCGTACGTAAAAGTGCCTTGTAAGCAAACTAATGTAAGACAGAAAATGAGATCATCTTTGGAAGTATATAAAATACGTTATCATGCTACCTTGGAGGTTACAAATATTTAAGATCATGAACAACAAGTAAAAATAGCATTGGAACGTTGAAGAAAATAATGGTTCGTCGAAAATTGACAAGTTAGGAATGTTATAACCCGTACCTCTGGGGTGGGACTAGGGTTCTTAACATGATAAGGACGTTAGGTTATGAGTTATGTTAGTCGTATGGTAGTCGTGTGTTAGTTTTTGAAGTCAGGCGATTTGTGGAACAAAAGTCGATGAAAGTCATCACAAGTTACGTTCGTAAGTTTTACTGAACTTTGGATCAAATGTAACTGAAATTTTCTCCTAATATACTTAGAATTACGGGGTGTTCTACCCACCAAGTTGAAGATATATGAGTCTATTTCTAACGCGTTAAACGTTTGTCAATACGACATCCAAGTAGAGAGATATATGAGTTTTTGCTAGACTGCATAGACTGCTAGGTGACAAGTAGGTGTGTCACCTACTTGCTTAAATGAGAGTCTAAAAAGGGGCTATTTCGGGTCGGAAGAGCCCATTTATTGGCTTATCTCTCTGCAATATAACACCAATTATATAACACAATAACCAGACCTAAATCCCTGCAACCATCCTCCCAAAAATTTCCCACAAACCCTAATTGATGTTCTCTCCTTTTCAAGTTCTAGTTGGAGGTAAAACCTAGAGTTTGAAGAACCAATATAGGAGCTGAGTTATTCAACAAATAAGGTAAGTTTACTGCTCTATTTCATCCTTTTGTTATGTTGTAAATGCATGGAAAGTCGTTCTATATTTGTAAGAACTCACACGATGGTGATCGGAACCCGTGAGTTTGAGTTATTTACTTGTAGCAGACTGTTTTGTGTTGCTATTGGATTGTGTGTTTTATTACTGTATTGTGGATTTTTGGAGGAGGAAGGGTGTGGAGAAACACCACCTAAATGCAGGGTGGTGTTCTAGTCATTTGTCGTAACATTTTCGGCTTGTTTGACACTACTACAGTGGTCGTCTTGTATATGAAGAGATTGAGGGTGTGCTGGGCTGTTTTGTAGTATTTTATGGTGTATATAAGGTTGGAAAAAAAATAATATATGTTGTTATCGTTTTGTTCTTGTATTGTTGGTGTTATCTTTAATTTGGAGGAAGTAAGGATTATTGGGGAGATGCTGTCTGTTTTAATACAAAATAAGCTTATCGTTCATTGTGTGATAGTGGTAACTTTCGTAAATTAATGATAGTGTTATTATCGTTATTATAGATTAAGGTGCGAAGATGCGAGTTCAACTTGGTTATTGGAAAGATTGTGATAAGGTATGTTAAGGCCAAACCTTTCTTCATTTTGGCATGATCCCGTAACTACACGAGTTTGATAATGAGGCACAATGAGAAGTTCGTATTCATGAACTTATGTACATTATCCTAGTCTCATAAGTTACAGTATTCTCCCTTATCGGGACTTTATATTTAGTTATGTATTATCTTCTTCCAGTCATGAGATCATAGGGTCTATATATATATAATATATATATATATATATACACACACACACATATACACACACAATATTACAGTATTTTCACCGCCATCGAGATATAATTGATGGGCAGGCCCCTATTGGGCAACCTCTGATCAGATGGTAAGTTATATACCGAGCCTACTATGGCGGAGCGTATATGAGCGATCCTAGAATGGTCGAGATACCTAGCCTAGTATGGCCGAGCGTCTATGAGAGAGCCTACAACAGCCGAGCAGTTACACATATCGCGCCTTATAGGGCCGGACATTTATTTTACTTACTATATTGAGAGAGTTGAGTCGGTATCAGCAGGTAAGTATATCTCCAGACCATCTTTGACTCCCAGTTACTTTCACTTATTTACATCATTAGTTCAGTTTCGGCTTTCAGTTATTTGACTGCCTTACATACTCGGTATATTATTTCGTACTGACGTCCCTTTATAGGGACGCTGCATTTCATGCGTGCAGGTTCAGATAGACAGACGGGTAGACATTCTCAGTAGGTGTTGCCCGAGTTTAGCTTGATCGGTAAGCTCCATGTCCTTTAGAGTTGCCGTTTAGGGTTTTTTATACATACTATGTATACCTGTATATATATTACGGGTAGGTCGGGGCCCTATTTCGATCACAGTACATCCATCAGTAGAGGCTTGTTGACATATCCTGTCAGTTAGTTTTGTATGTTGGGCTTGTAGGCCTTGTAAGTATATTTTTTTGGTTTGTCAACTGTAGTAGTGATACTAGCCTTGTCGGCCCAGCTTTATATTGATATTTAGTCAAAGCTAGTTTCCATTCAGTTTTATATTTTGCTTCACAAATTGTTTTGCAATGTGGCTCCATGGCCGATGTATGACATTCTATGTTCAGAGTCTCTCAGTCGCAAGTTGGTAGGCTTGGTTAAGTGAGGCACCGGGTGCCGGTCTCTCCCCCCAGGTTCGGGGCGTGACACAAATATAACAAAAATAACTTAGTATTATAAATAAAATCATAGAAAATAATTTCGGATAATAAAGCTTTGATCTTTAATGAAAACTAAAAAATTAACCACGGGCCCGCACCTCGAAACCAGACAAAATTTACGAAATTCGGAACATCCTTTCCGATACGAGTCCAACCATACCAAAATTATCCAAGTCCGACATCAAATTGGCCTTCAAATATTCATTTTAAATTTTAGGAAGTTTTTTACAAAAGTCCCCAATTTTCTCCAATTCAAATCACTAATTTAATGATAAAAACAAAGATGGAATCATGAAATATAATCAAAATCTGTGCAAAGAACACCTACCCCAATCCATATAGTGAAGAATCTCTCTAAAATCACCCAAAACCAAAGTTTACAATTCAAGATGTGATAAAAATAACCAAATTCTCGATATAAATGAAGCTGCCCAGCGATTTCTGCATCTGCGAACAAAACAGCGCATTTGCGCTCTCACATTTGCGACCCAACACCCGCATATGTGGTTATCAGTTACCATACCAGCGACCACACCTGCGCAAAAGGGGTCGGACCTGCAACGCTGCAGAAGCGCTCACACAAATTCATAGGCGGATTCTATCGCATCTGCGACTCATTACTCGCAAAGCTGCCACCGTACCTACGATCTCTCACCTGCAGAAGCGGGAAGCCTGACTATGCAAAATCTTGCAGGGCCGACACAATTTCACGCAAAAATGATTCCGCACGTGCACTCCCACTTGCGCAGATGTGAGACACCAGAACTAGTCCTGCACAAAAACATGAAATTAATTCGAAACGTGTCCGAAACACACCGGGGCCCCCCTGTCCAATCATACCTACCAATCCCAAAATATAACGCGGACCTACTCGAGGCTTCAAATCATATCAACACAATATAAAAATACGAAATACACCTCAAATCGAACTTAATGAACTTATGAATTTTCAACTTGTACAACTCACGCCGAATCATATCCAATCAACCCAGAATGATGTCAAATTTTGTATGCATGTCTCAAATGACATAACTAAGCTATTCCAACTCTCAAAATTGCAATCCGAATCCAATATCAATAAATTCAACTCACGGTCAAACCTCTCAACCTTCAGCTTTTCAACTTTCGCCAAAATGCAGCAAATCAACTTACAGACCTCTAAATCCAAATACGGACATACGCCTATGTCCAGAATCATTATACGAAGCTACCGAATCATCAAAACACCTTTCTGGAGTCTTCTACACAAAGTTCAAACTCCGGTCGGCTCTTGCCACTTAATATTCTAAAACAAGAATCATTCTTCCAAATCAATCCCAAATCATCCGAATACCTAATACGACCATACACAAAAGTCATAATACACAATACAAAGCTATTCGAGACCTTAAGCCACCGAACGGGACCCTAATTCTCAAAATAACTGGTTGGGTCGTTACACTTTGTCTTTCAGCATTGCTACAGAGAAGTCAATTTCGTAGCTGATTTTTTTTTTTTTTTTTTTTTTTTAATTTGTCTCATTTTCATTGAATGAAATCAACCATCCTGATGGCTTTTATTTAACAAAAATAATCTAAAATGGTACTCCACAGAAAATTTAAGGGGATTATCTGAAGTAAGAATGTATCACGTCCAGTAACGAGCGCTTTCTCTGCTGCTTAAAACGAATAGTTAAATTTTTTACTGAATTATTCCAGAAGGATAAATAATAAAATGCTAAGAAAACGGAAAAAGTGGAATTACCAATGAAATTAGCGACCACGTGGTTTGTTGTGATTGGATTAGTAAACTATAAATTGAGCAGGCCTAAATGCCATTATTCAGAACTGTAAACAGATTTGATTTGAAACCTTTTACTGTAACCTTTTATCAGCATAATATTATCCAAAAATGCCTTACGGACAGCTTGAAGTTTATGTTGCAAACGCCAGAGGCCTTGATGACACAAATTGGCTCAGTATGTTCTTCACTAACTCCCTTCTATAACATGTAATTAAATTTTACTGATTATATAAAAATTCACTTATACGATTAGATAAATCCGATAGTACTTCAGGCATGAATTTTTAATTACATCCAAGAAGAACCTCAATCAAATCTTATAACCTTGTATTTTTCTTGTTTCCCTGCATAACCCAAGGTGATCTCTCTCATGACAAATAGATCTGTCTAAAGAATAGGCAATTATGATTAAGAAATTTGAGAACAAACGTACCTAAATGTCATCTTTATAGTCTATTCATTAGGATTGTCACATTCTACTCAGGAACGTAACAATCCTCCCGTTCTAAATAACCTAAACATAACAAATTGCATGCACCACTGACGATATATTATAGATCTGTCTCGAAATGTGAAAGAAAAAAATGAGAATATTATCAAGTATATAGGTGATTGTTTAAAAAAAAAAAAGAAAAAAAAGAGTATAATATTGCGGATTGACAAAGCATGCAAATTCTCGGCTTTCCCTAGCACTGGATTATATTTTATTCAAATATGCTTTTTCGTTTCTCCTTTAGTATATGCATTGGTTACTGAATTTAATTTTTTCTTAAATTACCAAAACAGCTGATATGAATCCTTACGTTGTTGTCACCTGCCGTACTGAAGAGAAGAAAAGCAGCACTGCATCTGGTTTGTAATTAATTAATTAATTAACTTGGATTAAACCTTGAAATTTTCTTGTATCCAACCTATGTTAATTAAAATACATTATATAAATTTATAGGTGAAGGATCCGACCCTGAATGGAATGAGTCCTTCCTCTTCACCGTCACTCGTGGTTGTGACGAGCTTCACATCAAGCTTATGGATGAAAATACATTCCAAGACGACGATTTTTTAGGAGAAGCAACGTTAATAATATCCCTGACTAAATTCCTTAATAAAATTATTTTTTGTTATGCCATTAAAATAATATTATTTTTTGTTAATCGGAAACAGAATTTCCTTGGAGGAAGTGTTTCGGGAAGGAGAAGTAGGATCAACCTCTTATCAGCTTTACAAGGATGATGAAGAATGTGGATCCATCAGACTTGGCCTTACTTTCACTCCTGAGGAGGTAATAGATTCGTCAATTAGAAAATTATAATTTTCACCTCGGTATAATTCAAAATGTTATATTATGTTACTTACTATTTATAGCATGTTTCTACCATATAAAATCTACTTACAATTTATTCTAAGTTACCAATTCATGTTTATCATATATAGATTAATATGCAATAACTTACGTGACCTGATAATAAAGATTTTTTTATACGGTTAATGCATAAAATGTAAACTTTTTAATTAGTAAAAGAACAAGACTGATCAAGAATATTTTTTTTTTCATTACTTGCAGAGGGATGAATGTGACGAGGACTACTAATTTTGCTCTCTAGCCGAGGAGTTTGAGTTTATGGAAGGGTCGTTTGGTTACCCGTGCTACAAGAAATATTAGTCCTAGAATAAATTATGAAATGATAGTGAATTGTTTTTGTTCAGTTATCATTTTCTTGTATTCACTACAACAAATTTGGCCTACAGCCACACTTATTTTAGACTGCACCCAAGAAGTGTTGCAAAAAATATTTATGGGAACACTTTTAAATGGTGGCCTTTGAGTAGAGTCTTTGACTACGATTTTTAAGGCAACGCTTGAAAAGCGTTCCTTTTAAACGGAAAGACTACACTTTTTAAGTGTGGCTAATAATAAAATATTTGGCAATCCTTATTATAGGTATTGTAACGTTTTTAAAGAGTAGTTTTATTGGCTGAACTAATGTAACACTTTACAAGGCATGCCCTAAAAATTTCCCTCTAAAATTTCCCCCCCAAAATTCGCCCCCCAAAATTCCCCCTCTAAAAGTTTCCCCCAAAATTTTCTAAAAATTCAGAAGGCAGTAACATGATGCTCATCTGTCTACCTCTTTCCAAAAGTACTGAAAAAATTTTCCCCATCCCCAATTCGTTTTCCTCCCCCATAGTTTCGTTGAACTCGGCTTCCGCGCTGCTTCTATTACCGAAGCAACACCACTATTGTATCCTGGGTTGACTGGTATGGTGTTCTCTTTCTTTTGTTTGGATGATTCGCTGCTATTTTCTCACTTCATACTTCGTCTTTTTAATTTTTTTCTTTTGATTTGATATTAATATACCCGAACAGCTAAACTTTACTCGAGATCGATAATCTTCTGTTGTTCGAGATGAGCGGTAAGATCTCTTCTTGCGATTGCACAGTCATGACGATGAGAGTTTTATGAGAAAATTTGTTTTTCTCAGTTCAGTTGTTAACGTTGACTCCTAAAACCCTAGACATCGAAGAAATTTGTGAATTTTTCGTTCTTGCTTAGGATTCAGCGGGCAATAAATTGTGATTATATTATCTTTACCAATACTAATCTAGAAATCACTATTTTTCTTCTAACATTGTGTCATTTTTTGCTATGAAATATTAACCAATCATAAAAAATTTCTGGTGTGCATTTGTTAATTATGCTAATTAAGCACAGGGGAAAACTAACAGAGTTATAAATTCTTATTAAGCTATAAGGAATATCTGTGTTTATCTCTATTATCTTCTGAATGTTAAATTTTACATTTCAACACATGCTTCATTGTCACGAGAGGTCTTGTTTATGGTAAAATTGGATACAGACCTTCAAGAATCTCCTACAACCGAACTGCTGGGCATTGTACATTTTACTGTATTGTTGTTGTAAATGGGTGAAGGAGAAGAGAAATGGTGTGTGGTGACTGGTGGAAGAGGCTTTGCTGCTCGGCATTTAGTGGAAATGCTGATTCGTTATGAAATCCATCATGTCCGCATTGCTGATTTGGGTCCATCCATTAAACTTGAGCCTGCTGAGGAAAAAGGTATACTTGGTCAAGCCCTGCAATCAGGCCGTGCTGTATATGTATCCATGTAACAAATCCCAAGTCCTCAAAGGTCCATTCTTGATTTGCTGATTTTTCAATCTGTACTTGTTTTTGACACCCAAAAATGAGAACTTCTACAGTAGTAATTTCTTCTATTAAAATGGTTAGAGGAGGTTACTAGTTCTTGAATATGGTTTTATTGCTTTTTCTAGTGAACTTGCAGTTGGTTTTTCCGCCCAAAAACCAGATACTTTTGACTCTTGAATATGATTGTTTTGGTTCTATATTGGTTACCTATTTACTAGTAAATTCTTCTATTACCATGTCCAAAATGTTTAGAGGAGGTTACTAGTTCTTCCAGCTTTAGTTTATCAATTAAGGTTCCATCTGTTTTCAGCTCTAGTGTGGAATCAATTAGGTGATTTGCTATGTTCCAATTGTTTAATATAAAGTAAGCCTTGTATCAGATGTACTTTTGCTGAGTCATCCTAGCTATTTTATCAAAACTTATCGTTTTGACTTTAGTATCTGAGATTACTTATGTTACATGGAGTATTTGTTTGCCTCCAAGTATCCATGCTAGATAAATGTTACTTGGATATATGCATGGGCGGAGCCAGGGTGACGGAAAAATTGCACTATATATATAAGGTTAAAAGTTTTTTTGTATTTATATTCGCTATTGAATCCCCTTAATTCCTTCGTGGGTTTATTTTTTTATTTATTTCTTGAATCCCCTGGGTGAAAATCCTGCTTCCGCCACTCTAATTTCACATATGTGTATCTTTCAAGATACACTAGAAACTTGCTAAAAACTTGATGTACCCTACCTTATACCTGTACCAGATACTTATCTGCCAGCATTTATGCCCGAGTCCATGTGACATAGGAGATAGCCCATTTTATTACGTTGTTGTGTCTTAACTTTATTAATTTGATATTTGCAGCTTGTGAAGGAGCTGAGGTTGTCTTCCACATGGCTGCTCCAGATTCATCAATCAACAACCACCAGCTCCACTATTCAGTTAATGTGCAAGGTAATGGGAAAGCTTTAAAAAACTATGTTAAGAAGAAAAATGATCTTTCTGAAATTACGTCAGCAGTTCTATTGTCACAACTTCTTAATGCTCTTTTATTGTCTCTCTTTACATGAAATTTTTATGTATCTCTCTTTTCAACATAAATATACGTGAAGGAACGCAGAATATAATTGATGCTTACATTGAGCTGAAAGTGAAAAGACTTATTTACACCAGCTCTCCCAGTGTGGTGTTTGATGGAGTTCATGGAATTCTAAATTTAGTCATACCATGTCTGTCTCAGGTGCTCCAAAAATTTTTAGGGATTGTTATGGTCTTTTCTGCACTGCTTTCTCTCTTTGCAACTTCTTTGTGGATCTTTTCATGTGATAAAAATATGGTAAACTATTTTCTGCAAAAATGTATTATTTGCCGTTGATATTAAATGCCAGAAAATTTCTGAATGTCCGCATCATTACTGCAGGAATGAGCACATCTTCCTGTCAAATATGTCGTACATGTGACTTTCAACTTATGTTTCATATAAGACACTGATATTCATGTGTTACAATTGTACGTTAGATCTTTTAAAGCTACCATTTTGCTGTGGGGCCTCATTTATTTACACTCGATCATTTTCTGCTGTTTATTTTTGCTTTTATTCTCGTTACATAATTTGTTGTAGTTGTAAGGCGTGACTCTATTTTCTTCAGGAGGGCCTTAGGAGGACAATTGAGTCCTATCCACATTTGAGAGCTGAACTAGTGCCAGGAAAGAAAGGTCCTTCTAAGTCATCTGCATCTCTTTGGATGTTCTTCCTCATGGTAATTTCTATTTCATAATATCCATTTCTTGTGAGAGCAAAACTGTGATAGACTGATGGTGACACCTTACTATTTAATTTCAGCAGGTAATACAAAGCCATGGTCTTTTTCTCATATGGTTATGAATTGAATAGGCATGCCTTTTCTGATAAAATACATACGAATTATCATATGAAATTCTTTACCTTTTCTGTCAATGTATTGCAGCCTCACCTATCTGGATGTTGATCCAGCAGATCCAAGATCACCTTCACTCTCGCTGTGCTCGGACGTGACTTAACTTGTGTGGCCTTATCAATGGCAATTGGCCTACCAACTGCAGCTGCGATGGACATTAAAGGTTTGCTTGCAAACAAGTCAGGTGACAGATTTGGAAGCGATGGACATGCATGTTATTGATTTCTATCTAATTACTTATTTTATTTTGAGTTTGTAGGAAAATTCTGGTGAGCAAATTGGAAATGGTAGCCACAAGGCAATGTGATTTGTTGGAGTTTAATGATGAAGACCTTGGACAATTATAATTTTTGTTATTCCTAATACTATAATAATTACGACTGCTTTTGTAAGTTAATTGTTAGCATGTACATTGAAGCAATTTGCTTTATTCGGTGATGTATTACACACAAGATTTATTCATTTTTGAAGTTAATTGCAAGTATATGCATTTGAATAATTCCTTTGTTATCTTCCAGCTAATTGAATGCTTGAGATCTTCATACTTAATATGATTATTTGATATATAAAAATATGTAAATTCTTTATTATAAAAGCATGGCTTTTATATATAGATAGCTTACAAAATTACCACACTTCAAAAGTGTGGCAATAGGGATTGGTAAATTTGTGGCCTACCTACCAGCAAGACCCACGCTTTAGAAGTGTTGTTTTAGGAGCTACACTAGAAAAGTGTGGCCTAAAGAGTAACTAAGACAACACTTTTAATGTATTGTCGTTGTACACTAAAAGCGTTGCCATAGAGGGTACTTCTAAGACCACACTTGTAAAGTGCTGCCTTAGGGCAAAGGTTATGCTAGTTTAGGTCACCCCTGAAAAAGCGTTGCCTTAGGTCGGAAAGTGTGGCCTTTGACCAAAGGCTACACTTCTTGATAGTTTAGGCCACACTTTTCAGGTGTGGTTAAAGGCCTAAAATGTTGTAGTGATTAGTGCGAATAATATACGCATTTAGTAATGCAATAAATTTTATATTATTTTATATTAAATGTAACGTGAAATAAAGATACACGTGTTAGCTAACATACCATTTGTGTCATCAAGTTATTAATTAGTTGACTATTGTTACTTCTTATAAAATAAATTGAATTACGATGTATGGAGTCCAAATTGTAAGGTCCTTTAGCACATCCCGGAAAGTCAGAAGCAGGAGAAAACTTCTGCTTATTAATACTTCATTTCGCCAAAGCATTCGCAACTTGATTTGCCTTTTTTTTAGGCTATAGCTGTGTTGAATCATGCAATCAGTCTGGTTGGCAAGACTTTAAGCTTAATGGTGTACGTCTAGCATATTCTATGGTGGTTTTCTTTCCCCTTTCGACATATAAATGATTAGCAGAGATGTCTGTAAGGAAATAACACGGGAAAAATAATAATAATACTGCAATTATATTATTAGTGAGCAGATATACGAATTGGCTTGAGTCGTGCTGCGTATTGTCCGAAAAAACTATTTCAGCAATATGAAATGTTTTTCCAGGATTAAACAAGCCTACCTCTATTTATTTAGAGGATACAAGAATCAACAAAATTAAATAATAAATCCAGCAGGTACAAAATTGGAGAGAAGAATTATTAATAATAGGTAATAATTGTAGGAAGAAAGTAATGATTAGCTAACTATAATTAAGGAAGAAGCAAGATGAATTCTCGGTTGAGAATTGAGTGAGTATGATGGCTAATCCACAACCTATCTTTAGGCAATTAGGGAGGTTGCATGCATGACAAGTGTGGAGAGTCTTTTAACACTTGTCCAAATATATTAGTCCACTTGACTTTAATATTAACAAGTCTATCTAGTCTTCTATGCATGAAGACACATGGTAGATTTGCATTGCCACTTGTCAAAGCCTTTCAACACTTGGCTTTAAGGCTTCATGCAAGAAGCAACTAGGAAATAAATAGGACACTTGTAAAATAAAAAGACACATGGCTATTTAAAATTTTAAAAAACTCCCACAATGCCCAGATATTTTCAAAATTCATAGGAGAAGGATAAAGGAATGGAAGAATTGACTTGCTGAATTTACATGGTCCAAATGTAATGGGATTGATATCTACAAGACTATGAACCAAACTTAGACCAATAAAACTTAACTCATAAAATTACTGGTGAAATACAATATTTCTATGAACCAATAATTCTTATTGTAAGTCGGAGATTTTATCAATCACATTTCAACCCTCACAATTTTGTTGTTCAACGCGGTTTTGGGCCACTAGGCCATGTGCGTGCCTGGTTATTCATGAGAGCTCTAGAGACCAGGCTAAAATCTCATAGCAGCAGCGCACTCCACTCTGATATAGGTTAATTCATTAAGTGTATACTGCTTTTAAATACACCATCCATAAGGAATATGAATGCATTAAGAGTTATAACTCATAGTCTCAATTAGTAGCAGTCAAACACTCTCTTTTAGTACTTCAGTGTCGATATTGACTTGTTATTACCTATAAGAATCTACTTCATGGGATCCCCAATCACATAGGTTGGGTTACCATCTCTACTGACAATATGTCGGCCTTAACCGCATCTCTTTTGAGGTTTGAAGAATTAATTTTCTTCCCACTGATTTAGTTAGAGGATCCGCCAAATTTATCTCTGACTTCACATGATTCCATCTCTCAACAGTTGTTTTATGACATCATGTCTCAATTTCATATGTCTACTTTACATTTATAATATTTATTCTTTACAATAGCTATTCCTGCTTGACAAACAGGATGCATAGACACAGGAGGCAATACATCCTATTAGCTAAGAAGTTTCTTAGCCACTCAGCCTCAGAACTAGCTAACTCTAGAGCTTCAAACTCTGATTCCATAGTCGATCTAGTAATGATCGTTTGTTTAGCTGATATCCACGATATTGCACTACCATCAAAGGTGAATACATAACCACTAATGGATTTTGTCTCATTTGAATCAGAGATCCAGTTTGCATCACTGTACCCTTCTAAAATAGAAGCAAATCCACTATATAGGATATCATAATTCATGGTTCCTCTCAAGTATTTCATAACTAATGCATACCAGTGCCCTCTGTTAGGATTATGAGTATATCTACTCAGCCTACACACGACATAGGCTATATCAGGCTTTGTAAAATTCATTAAATGCATCAGACTCCCAATAATCTGAGCATGTTTAGACTGAGCAACTAGGTCTTCATTAATCTTTTTCAATTGAGAGTTAGCATCAAAAGGAGTGCTCACAAGTGTGACATTAAAATCGAACTTCTTAAGAAGTCTCTCAACATAATATTCTTGTGACAACATTATTCCATCTTCACTCCTTATAACATTAACACCCAATATTGTATTTACTTCACCCATATCTTTATATCAAAATTAGCAGATAGAAATAATTTAATACTTTGCACAATATTTAAACTTGTACCATATATAAGCATATCATCAACATATAGACTTATTATCACATAATCATTGTCTATCACTTTCGTATAAACACATTTATCCACCTTAACTGAAGAAAAATCGTCTCTCAGTAAGACTTGTTCAAATTTCTCATACCACTGCTTAGGAGCTTGTTTAAGGCCATAAAGAGATTTAATTACTTTATAAACTTTATTTTTTTGTCCAAGGAATGACACGGCCTTCAGGTAGAATATTATAAATTTCTCCTTCTAAATCACCATTTAGAAAAGTAGTTTTGACATGCATTTGGTGGATAAAAAACTTCTGAATTGAAGCTAAAGCAATTAAAACTCGAATAGAAGAAATTCTAGTAACTGGTGCACATGTATCAAAATAATCAATATTTTATTTTTGAGAAAAACCTTTTTCTACTAACCGAGCTTTAGATTTATCTAAAGATCCATCAGTATTAAATTTCTTTTTGAAAATCTATTTACAACCAATAGGTTTTGCACTAGGAGGTAAATCAGTTAAAATCCATGTATTATTTTTTATGATAGAATCAATTTTAACTTTTGTTGCCTCTTTCCAATAATTAGCTTCTGAAGAAGATATAGCTTCAAAATAATTTGATGCTTCATTATCGACAAGAAAAGTTTGAAAATCATTTTTATAAGAAAAATATTCTTTTCTAGGCCTTTTGCTCCTTCTCAGTTCCTCATTAGAGATAATCTCATTATTGGTTTCAACATGTATATGAGAAATTTTATCATAAAATGGATAAATATATTCAAAGAACTCAGCATTATTTGGCTCAATTATAGTATTACAATCAAGCACGTCACTTTTTAAAACAAGAACTCTATACGCAGCATTATGTTCAGCATATCCAATAAGCATGAAATCAGTAGTTTTACAACCTATTTTTCTCATTTTAGGTTCAGGCAAAAGAACTTTAGCAAGCACCCCACACTTCTAAATATTTTAAGTTAGGTTTGTAACCCTTCCACAGTTCATACGGAGTTTTGCCAGTTCTTCTATGTGGTATTCTATTTTGTAAGTGGCATCTAGTGTAACGACCCGGCCGGTCGTTTTGAGTATATTAGCCACGATCCCCTAATTATTGCTTACTCTATGTTACATTGTAATTATGTGACTTGCCGGGATGTTTAATTTTGATTTCGGATGAGTTACGGAATGAAATGGGACACATAGTCCCTAAGTTGGAGCTTTAAGTTGAAAGAGTTGATCGTAGTTTGAATTTTGTGTAGACGACTCCGGAGTTGAGTTTTGACAGTCCCAATAGCTCCGTTTGGCGATTTTAGACTTAGGAGTGTGTCCGGATGTTGGTTTGGAGGGTCGTAGGTTGTTTCGGCGTGAATTGGCGAAAGTTGGAAAGTTAAAGGTTTGGAAGGTTGACAAGTTTAATTGGGAGTTGACTTTATTGATTTCGGGGTCGGATTTCGATTCCGGAAGTTGGATTAGGTCTGTCATGTCATTTATGACTTGTGTGCAAAATTTGAAGTCAATCGAAGTTGTTTTGGTATGAATCGGCAATAGTTTTGAAATTCGGAAGTTCATAAGTTCATTAGGCTTGAATTGATGTGCGATTCATGGTCCTAGTGTTGTTTGATGTGATTTGACACTTCGAGCATGTTCGTATGATGTTTTAGGACTTTTTGGTATATTTGGTTGAGTTCCTGAGGGCCTGGGGTGTAATTCGGATGTTCGGCTCATTTCGGAACCTTGAGGATTTGCTGAAGCTGTTGGTTTCTCTATAGGTCTGGTTTCCTTCTACATGTTCATGAAGGTGTTACCGCGTTCGCGTAGAGTCTTCATGTATTGCTGGAGATTTACCCTTTGTGTTCGCGAAGAAGTCCACACTTCGCCAAAGTTCAGGGAGTTTGTGCACTGCGATCGCAGACAGGGAGCCGCATTCGTGAAGAAGAAAGGTAGGCTGGGGGACCTCATGCGGTTGGTCTACGCATTCGTGAATGAGGCTTCACGATCGTGAAGCTTGGGAGCTTTGGTCATCGCACTCGCGAGTGGGTTTTCGCGT